TGGTACTGTAATTGTGCTGTATGGTGACGGTAGCTATACTTGTGAGCACAGCATAAGATACAGAGTTGTGGAATCCCTATGTTGCACACCTGAAACTAATGTAAATTGTGTCAACTGCACTTCCATTTAAATATATAATATATAAATATAAACATTTTTATATATGATACAAAATATTTTAATATAAAATATTAAATATTTTAAAAACTATATATATATCCAGTTAGGAGCAACTTTTTGCTTTGCATTAAGCCAAGCTTCTGTTATGTCAGCACACTGGTCCATTAGGTCTACTGCTTGCTAGTAGTGGAACAATATTTACGTTCAGGTGAAGTTTTTTCCCTGTTTTTGGATTTGAATTTTAATCTCATGTTACTGGTTTATGTAACATACATGTTTCTATTCCTGATTTAACAAACATATACCATACTGAAGTATTTCTCTTGAAATATGCAGGTCTTTTATTTCCTCCTTTCTTATTTCATAAAACCTCAAATTTTGTTTCCTTTCTAAGCTATACTGCTTAGAAAGGTCTGCCTTGGACCCCATTCACTAATGTTTATTACTAAAAACTGTCACCAGTATACCATTTTATGTATAGCACTGTGAGTACTAAATACCAAATCTACTATATAGATCCCTTGGAAAGCAGTGTATCAAAGTTCCCGTCCCGAGATACTGAAATTCAGTCACACATGATCTTTGATTCCTCATTCTATATAATTCAATTAAATATTTGTGTTAAATCTGAAACTTAAATAGGACTCTAATAAGATTTCTTTTCTTCAGAATAAAGCTGAGGAATATCTGCACTTAACAATCCTGACAGACTCGTTACAGACATTTTTTTTTTTTTTCCCACTTTCATTCCAAGGAGAAATAAGTAAGTTTACATAACTGACCTGGCCATTACTTAGAGCAGGTCACAGCGCCCCCCTGCTGGCTCCTGCCTCTGGGGCTGAACCACAGGTCTCACCAGTGGAGCACCCTTAAGAAGCTTTGGTATTTACCTGCTTTGCGTTCTTTAGATTCTGTAAAAGGGTCTTTTATTTTAATAGGATTTTCTTGATGTTGTTTGGCTTGGGAATCTGGGTAACAAGTAAAGCCATGCCTTTAAGAATCTTTAATCCATCTAATTGTTTTTAACTGTAGGGGTTGAGGACTGATAGATTTGATTTGTTATTTTTCTTTATGCCACTGTTCCTAAATTGTGAAACATGATTGTATTTTATAAAGCCAAACCTAGTTTGCTCTGTTAAGAGATTTTGGAGTTTAGCAGCCTGATTTAGTCTAAAATGTTTTACCATCTGCACTTATTTTTTCTGTGTTACCATCATGATTACCATCCTTTCTTTGTCCCTTCCTGCTAAAGATCCCATTTCTCTTCCCACAAATTTCACTTCTCTGTAATCAAACACAGTACTTTATCTCCTTTCATTTTTTTCCCTAAATCCCCACATTATCCAAGACCTAGCTTGTCGGTATCACCTTTTTCATGAAAACTTTCCCAAGTTTTAAGTCCTACTAATGTCATTCTATTCTAATAGCAACCCTTCTTCCTTAATCATTTAGTTGAATTTGATAATGCTATCCCTTTTTTGGGTAACCAGCCTCCAGAATTCTAACAGGCATGTAACATACATTATTTCTGTTCTTAGCAGTTGGGCAGGGCAGCAGTTATTTTCCCCATTAGACAGATGAGGAAACCAAGGTCACGAGAATTTAAGAAACTCTCCCAGGAGTCTGCCTGCCTCACTCTGTGACTTTCCGATTCACACTCTGCAGAGCCATGATCCCCACCTCTCACTGTAACGCTCAGTCATGCATCCCTGGTGACCTAGTACTGTTTTCTGGTTATTTACCAAGTAGAAGACGTAAAAAATAGGTCTGTTGAACATGAACCAAACAAATGAAATAAAGGGACCCCTACATTTGTAAATGGAGTTGTGTTTTTAAACTGAGAATGATTTATACCAGCCCAGCTCCTTAAGAGTTGTATGGCTTCTGATGATTTAATCTAACAAACTATGTCACGATTTAGTCATTTTCTCGAAATCTCATTATTTATACCTCTTTTTCACTTTTCTCATAACTCCTCCTCATTCCAGAGCAGATTCTTCCAGGTGGCCAGTTCAGCAGCGTTTTTCCTCCATAGTTTTCCTTGAGCCTTCCCAAGAAATGTTTCTGTGGATATTCCTAAAATGGCTGCTTATAGGCATGTCTTTAAGAAAGTAGTTTTGGGGCCCCTGGGTAACTCAGTCGGTTGAATGTCCAATGGTTTTGGCTCAGGTCATGATCTCAGGGTCATGGGATCAGGCCCTGCATTGGGCTCCACACTCAACGGGGAATCTGCTTGAGATTCTCTTCCCTCACCGTCTGCCCCTTCACTCACACATGTGCCCTCTCTCTCTCTAAAAAAAGAGGAAGTAGTCTTAATAATGTCTTTCCTATTCTGTAATGATTCAAAAGAACAGAGAAATATTAATTTTGCTTAAAGCTTAATTTTGAAATATGTCTTTATGTTGTCTAGTTTAGCCCTTTATTTCAAATCTGTTTACCCAGAGTATTCCATCTGGCAGTCAGTAAGAGCACATTTATTTCTAGACCCTCCAGTGTGTCAGGTGCCATTCTAGGCATTGGGAACCCAAATACAAACAAGCCAACTCAGGCCTCAAGGAAATCAGTTTTGACAATGAAACAGAAGAGCACATCTCCCTCTCAAGCACCTCATAACCATCTCTCTACCTGCTCCTGATTTGGGTTATAAAATTTATAGAATTATAAATTAAACAGAAGCTGAGAACCATCTTTTTTTTTCCTTGACATGGAAACTGAGGCACAGAGAGTAGGTTAAATGACTGGAAGTCAGACAGAAAGATTTAAACCCAGACCTTCCAACTCCCAAACTGATAGCCTTTCTGCAGTCATTTGTTATATTAGTTTGTCATCTTCCTTCACCACGATGATCTGGATTTAAGGCCTCAAATTAGGCAGGAACTCCACTGTAGTTAGGGTCTTATATTTAAATTGAGAATTCTATTATAAAGGAAAGACCAGCTTGGAAATATGTAGAGAATATAGACAAGTCACATCTATCTCATCCATCTAGGCTTGCTGCATTGACACTTAGAAAACACAACCAGGTACTACTAAGGTCTTTTTATTTATGCTGCATTGGCATGCATAGTGTTACAGCAAAACAAAATTCTCTGACCTCGTGGGACTTACATTCTAGTCAAGGGAAACAAAACAATAAGCTTTATAGTATGTCAGATGGTGAGAAGTGCTACAGACCAAAAACAAAAAGGGACCTTAGTGGTCTAAGAAAAGGAACAAGGGGACTAATTAAAAGACTCCTGCAATAGTTCAGATGAGAGAGGATGGCCCTTAAACTAGAGATGCCAGTGGAATGGCAAAAAGTGGTCATTTCTGGTATTCTGAAGGTAGATCCAAGAGGATCTCCTGACAGATTGGATATTGGGCGGGAGAGTAAGAAAGTCAAAGTTGACTCCTAGACTTTGGGCATGAGAGATTGGAAAGATAACAGTTGCCATGTACTTAGCTGAGTCATGAATTCAGTGGCATCACTGTATGTGGTTTCAGAAATACAAGATAAATGAGAAATTTCTCCCTCAAAATGCCTGCAGTCTAGTAAACAAGACAGACATAAATTCATGCACCCAATTATACTTCTTGTTTATTATGATGGGGGGGTCTCAGCAAAGTGCTGTAAAAGTACATAGGAGAGAACAATGATCTCTAGCCAGGGAAGTGAGGAGAGATTCAAAGTAGAAGTTATGTCTGAACCCAGTTTATCATTCTTCTTGAGTTAGACATTACATGACTTGAGCTTAGAAAGATAAATTGGGGGCGCCTGGTGGCTCAGTCATTAAGCGTCTGCCTTCGGCTCAGGTCATGATCCCAGGGTCCTGGGATTGAGCCCTGCATCGGGCCCCCTGCTCCTCGGGAAGCCTGCTGCTCCCTCTCCCACTCCCCCTGCTTGTGTTCCCTCTCTCACTATGTCTCTGTCAAATAAATGAATAAAATCTTCAAAGAAAGATAAATTGTATTATGTTCACAGAGCTAGAACAATAAAGCAGTAAAGCAGGCTGGTAGTTATTTTTTGATTCTATGTCAGACCACAGTTACATGATTGACCAGAAAGAAAAGTCAAAATCAAGTACTCTTTCCAACCTAGGACTGTACGTACAAATATGTACTATTTTCCATTGCAGGAGCCTTCTTCCTTTATGCTGGATTCGCTGGCGTGGGACTCCTTTTCATCTATGGCTGTCTTCCTGAGACCAAAGGGAAAAAATTAGAGGAAATTGAATCACTCTTTGATAACAGGTTATGTACATGTGGCGCTTCAGATTCTGATGAAGGGAGATATATTGAATATATTCGGGTGAAGGGAAGTAACTATCATCTTTCTGACAACGATGCTTCTGATGTGGAATAATTTTCAGCTGCTGATATATTTAGGTATTTAAACAAACCTGGGGGACAAAAGCAGCAATTGGTGACCTCAATGCCCTGCTTTTAATCTCGTTCTTTCCACAGTCTAGTTTTGAATGACCTCATCTTCTAGAATACTTGATTAGGAGGAAGATACAACCATGATGACATTTTTTTTCACAAGCAGAAATGTAAAACAATATTTAGAGATTTTAAACTAATAATTATTGAACAAATGTATGTAATTCCTTCCTGAGGTAGTCTAAAATGAATATTGTATCCAGTGACTTCAGTGGTATCTTTTTTTCCTAAAACCATATATAATTATTAGAGTCAGTGCTAATCTAGCTTAATCGTATATGTAGGATATACTTATGAAGAAGGATTCAGGAATAAGATCCAAGGGTGTTTTCTGTCAAAACAAGGCCCATTGGCCCGAAATTTTCCTAAGGACAAGTAGCTTATCTGTGATCAGCCATTAGAAAGTAAATTCTATTTAAGCTTTCAACAAATTCAAAAGTACCTCCCACAGAGGCACGGTTGTCCTTATCTCCTTTGGATTCCACATTTTGGTCTCTCTCTCCAAATCAGATCTTTAGAGTTCTTCAGAAGCTGACTCTACACAGGACCTTTTGAACATTATGAAAAGCAGGTCTTTTAGGGTTTATTTTCATACATATTTTTTGCATTGGTGATAAGTATCCATTTGCACAGATAAGCTAGCAAGTTTTTTTTGTTGTTTTTTTTTTTAATTTTTTTTTTATTAAGCTAGCAAGTTTTGATAAGTATATTTTATTGCTAGAAAGTAAGAAAGAAAACATTTTTATGGATCCCTGATTTGAGTTACTTACTTAGGTATGCAACTGTAAACACAAAATAGCACCAGATCTTCAACTATATTTCAGGGTTTCTGTTCATACCAAAATCACCTTATACTCACCACGCCTTCACTCATCGCCTCTGGAGTCCTACTAATTTGTGCCTTCATTTGTTTTAATATAAATAGCTGCTAGCAGACTATTTTTCCCTTTCTTTTAATCAAATAATTCCTGAAACAAAAAAGAAAGAAAGAAAATCAGTGACAGATAATCCTGCTGTTATTGATGTTTTAAATAGTGAGACTTATTTTTTCCTTAGCTTTTTATTAACTCTTAAAAGTACTAGTCTTTTCTTACTTTAAGAACATAAACTCGTTTTTATTTTGCACACCCTTTTCTCATTTTCCTTGACAATTTATCAAAAAAAGATACAGATTTGTCTGTGGGTGTTTCCTTTTTCTCATACTTGGCTTGGATTTTTTTCCTTCTTGTCTAAAAATTGGGGTTTTCTATTGGAACAGATTAATGGTTCTAATATAGCATACATTTCTACAGTGTCTTCTCAAAGTGTTCATTGGTTTTTATGCTCGTTAATCAATGAACTCTAATTTTTACTCTTAGGAACTATACAGAATATACAAAATTACTTGCTAGTTCCAGTGAAAATATGAATGAATCGTCTGTGGCCAGATAGGAATATATAAGTTTGATGGATTTTAAGGTGCTCTTTGGAGTGAAAAGATGGCTATCTCTAAATTCAATGTGTGTTTCTGCCAGTCTCCAAGATGTTTTGTTCTTTGCTTGAAGTCTGGCTTATTCCTATCACTGTTATCAAAACTGAGAATGTAGCCAAGGAGGTTTGTTCTCATAGCCACCGGGGGTATGATCAGTGCTTGAACTGTCACTATACTGGCCTAAAAATCCTTCAGCTAAAAAAAAAAAGTTTTCTCCTTTTGATCATTTCATACAATAAAAAAAATTGAGTTTTTTTCCCTGAATTAGGTGCTTTGACAATTGATTTCTAAGGGTATATTAATATTGATTTTCCCCCAGAAAAGCAGATGTGACTTAATATAAGAGAAAATTATTGATATTTCTTATGCCATAAAAATTTCTTATCTGTGTAATACTTCACACAAGTGAAGTGGAAAATGAGCTATTGTGTGGTAAAATCAGAATATGATGGGAAGAAAAAATATTTAGACCAATAAAGTGCTCTCTAAAAATGTATTTTTCTGATTTATCCAAATAATTGCCTCTATTCTTCTCTTTATTATATACATAGCCTTAACTCTATGCTTCTGTACTCAGCTGGGCTGAATGCACAGTAACTTTATTAAAGGAGTAACTGGACTTTTATTATTTCCTAAAGCAGAACATGGCCTGTTCTCCCTGACATAAGCAAACGGTATATTCAACTTTATATCCATAAATGCACAGAGTAACAGGGAAAATTAGCCACAGTTCTCCTCCCCTATTCTCCTCAACCTCTCCTTTAAAGGACTATTTGTTATTTATATAGTGATAAAGACAATATTCCTTATCTTTGAAGTACAAGACAGAGTGGCACAGTATAAAGATTATTTATAATTTTTTTAAAAACAACTACTTAAAAAGAAACCTTATACAATTAGAGTATTATTTTTAGATTTGGTGAACCTTTATAGTATATTTAAAAATTAAGCGTTTGAATTTTGCAGGTTTTTTTATATTATGTACCTTTTAAGTTCTCAGCATCTTTGGCTACCACTATCAACTGGAAAACATTCCATTTGACATATCATCAAATATATATTTTGTAGGACAATTTATATATGGTATGATTTGAACTACCATATTAAAACAGATTAAGCATCACGCTTTTAACTGAAATTAAGTTTTCCTTCTAAGCATGCTGCACATTCAATAGAGACATATTATGTTTTAGGAGCACATAGTAAAGAAAGTCATAACCCCTATTTGAGGCTTAGCTTGGTGGCTGATGAGATCTGCCATAGACTAAGGAGAATATAACCCTTTATCTGCATTTGAACACATAGGTCTGAATGTGATGTCAGATAAATTTTAAAGATTTGGTATTAATAGTTTTCTTCAATACAAACATTCCTAATAATTTTGACTGTTGCACCTTAGTCGTTAATTACCCAAAACATGATTTTTAATGTATTTGTAAAAGATCTAAATCAAAACTAAATTTAAACGGTAATACTTCCATATGCTGTCAAGTGCTTCTTCATAATTTTACCACTGAGCTAGATTTTAGTATATAAGAATCTAAATATTTTTTAAATTATTCACTCTAAAATGAGAATTCCATTAAAGCAAAAAACTTAGAAGTTGTTTACTATCATTTCAAAATCCATAATCTAGAGGAAGAATGAACAGGAAAAATGTAAACTGACAATTTACCCTTTTGCTTTATATTGGAAAGTAAAATTGAAATGTATTGTAATCATAGATTCTAGGGGGAGGATATTCTAAAAAAACACTATATCTTATCTAAGAAAGTCTCACAACTTAATGACACTAATACAGTTTAGAAATATTGTCATGCAATTAGGGGGAATGGAAGGATTGTTTTATCGGCACAGTAATTAAGAACAATTAATGAGATTTTTGTTATAATCAGTTTTGTTTTGTTTTGACCACTCTCCTGGTTATAAAATCTCAAATTATACTAAGCACCTTATAGCTTTCACTTATACAGCTTGTTGCAACAAGTTTTCAGTTTATATCTTTTTACTAACTGCAAATAAAACAATGACCTAGCAGGCCCATGGCAGAGAATTCATAACATGTGCTTTACAGCAAAATCTGTTAAATAGTGGATGAAATGTATAGCTCACGTATAGCTGCTGCTTATGAAAAGACTTAGAATTCTTCTCTGGATTATTTTTAATGTCCTGTTTTCTGTCACTTTTCTTATCAATTTTCTTAGCCTCATGTACAGAAATGTTAAGCTAATTTGATGAAGTGATCAGGTGGTAGCAACGTATCAATTATCAGTACATTCAGTTCTTCTGGGTGAGAAATGTTGTTTTCTGGAAATAGCAATCATTTTAAAATGCCAAATAGCTAACTGCTCTCAACTCTTTTTACGTTATCTTTTAGGGAAATATTTGTATGCCAATACTCATTAAAGAGCTCTTTTGTAAGAGTGTCAATGATGGTCAGAAGTACATGAGAGAATTTTATCCTCTTAATTTGCCTGTGAGTGTAAAATGGTGTAATTTCCTATAAATCTTTATATGTATAAAGCAGTCTTGCACTTGAGTGATTTGGTCTATGAAATGTTCAATAACTACTTTCATTTAGTAGTAATATTCATATATTTATTTCACAGTTCATGTGTTTGATTTTTGTCATGTCAGTATGAGAAAAAGGAATGCAGCTTACAAGTACTTAAACACCTATATTTTGTGAAGTTTTACAATTTTAGTAAAATTAACATCATTCCATCTCATTTGAAGGTTAAAAAAAAAATGAGACTTAACTCTAGCCAAAGTAGAACTTTATATTCTACATGTCCAAACTGGTTCCTAGCAGCTTTTGGACTGTATCTCATTTGATGTTATAGTATCTTTATTTGTAATAAATGTTCAAATTTCTATTTAGAAGCTCTAATGTACATCTAGATTAAATCAAAAGTTTTATGCTTTTAAAATATGTATTTCAAAATGTATATTTTAATTTGAGTGCATGTTATATAGTATTTAATATTTCCCATGTCTTGGAAAATTCAATATAAATATTTATTCTTACATGTGACATATGGGATCTCTCTTAAAAATTATGAATATGTATCATTTCCTTCAAAGTCATTCTAGCCTATAGCTGTATCAAAAGTATTGTATATTTTATGGAAATTTAGTGATGTATATGTAAATTTTTTAAGTTATTTTATTGAAGTTCAATCTTTACATAAAATTAAAATCTTTTTTTAAAAAAAGTGTCAGTGCCAGAACTGTAAATGAAAATAATCAAATAAAAGTTATGACAATTCATTAGTCATTTATCTCCTTTGCACTTTTGTATTTTCTCTAATTCTCTTCCTTTGATTTTAGGATCTAGGTTACCCAGGAAAGGCATCTACAAAATTAGTTATCTCGTTATCTCTATATATTTATGCAGTCCTCATTTTAATGATATTTTACCTCTTTTAATAATGGGTAAACTCAACTATTTTTTTTTTTTTAAAGATTTTATTTATTTGACAGAGAGAGAGAGACACAGCAAGAGGGGGAACACAAGCAGGGAGAGTGGAAGAGGGAGAAGCAGGCTTCCCGCCGAGCAGGGAACCCGATGCGGGGCTCGATCCCAGGACCCTGGGACCACGACCTGAGCTCAAGGCAGGCGCTTAACAACTGAGCCACCCAGGTGCCCCTCAACTATCTTTTAAAAATAAATATATAATACCCAAAAATTGTTCCAAGGAATTATTCTAAATAGTAAATATAAAACTTTGAAATGAAGTGCTTTAGGAACCCTTGAAATATTATTTCTGGTTGTTGTCAAAACAGGTGTGACAATGGGGCACCTGGGTGGCTCAGTCAGTTAAGTGTCTGCCTTTGGCTCAGGTCATGATCCCAGGGTCCTGGGATCGAGCCCCATATCGGGCTCCTTGCTCTGTGGGGAGCCTGCTTCTCCCTCTCCCTCTGCTGTCCTCCCCCTGCTTGTGCTCTCTAAAATAAATAAATAAATAAATCATACATACATACATACATACATACATACATACATACCAGGTGTGACATAAGCCATTATGTTGGGTTGACAAAAACTGTATTTGCTTTGTAAATAACACAAAATACCTGCTGGATGACCTGTTGACAGTTCCTTTTGGAATTCTATTGCTCTCCATTGTCATTTTGTCCTAACTGTAGCTTTTATTAGCGAGAAATTATCTACTATTTGATCTGGGCAACTGTTAGACTTACCGCCATAGTTAGTTAGGGTGTGCCATCCTGAGCCCAAATGTAGAAACAGCCTGAGGAGATCCCATAAAGACACTAGATCCACTTGTCCAAAAGCTTACAATATGGGGGTCTCATGTCTAGGTGGTTTCCCCATGCACACAAAATTAAATTTTATTTTCTCCTGCTTAAAAAAAAAAAAAAGTGGAGTTGCATTTAATCAAGGATTCTGATGCCAGCAACTAAGATAAAAATCCTACAGTCAGAATGACCCAAAGAAAATCCCATAAATTACGCATAAAGGGTCTACTCACCAGGACACCTAAATATTGCAGTACATATTTGCATCAGTGGTCAAAGTCCTCATTTAACTATCCAGTCCTGTGGGGTAAACATTGTAGTGCTTTTATGGGTGCTAAACTTAAGTTCAGAACATTTTGATGACTTGCCCAAGATCACAAACTAGGAAGTAGTACAGAACTTCTCTGTGTGGACTACACCAATAGTCGTCTCTCCGTCATCATTTGGAATGTCTTCTGGTCAGACCTAGGCAGAAAGACTACAAAATAAACATTGTGGAATTCCTGTGTTAGTTATTACTTAAAAGGTATGCAGAGGAAGAATCAGATACCTCACTTTAACCTGGTCTATAGACACAAATTCTGAAGACCTTTGGAGATTTTTCTCCAAATAGTACATTGTTTAAGGAATCAGAATGAATACAAATTGCCAGCTTTGAATCCCAGCTTTTCTACTTACTGCCTGGTAACCTAAATTACTGACTTACTCTTTGCCTCAATTCCTGTCTATAAAGTAGAGATGTTACTATCTACCTCATATATTTGTTATGGGGGTTACATTAATCATCTAAAGCACTTAGAGCAATAGCACGTAGTAAGTGCTGGGTAACTGTTGGCTGTTCTCAGTGTCATCCTGCACATGCTAACCCTGATGCTAAGGTCGCACTGTCCAAAGCACAAGCAATGTGTTTATAAATTCCTTTCCTGAGAACAACTACTGGGGGCAGGAGCACAGAGGCTTGACATATGTCATATAGGGTGTATGACGGCAGCAGCCAAGCTCCTGCTGACCAGAATGGTTTGCGCTGATATGGCTGACTAGCCTGATGTTCCTCTTCCCTTCTCCACCTCTTTCCCTTGAGCATCCTCCTGAATGGCACAGTTAATGAAAAGCACAACCTTCTCACAGTCTCCAGATTAACAGGATTTAATACACAGTTTCTCTGTATGTGATCTCTGAGTCAAGAAACAAAAAGAATTTTAGAATATCTCTTGGTAACCTATCATTTAAATTCCTTTTAGCATTTAAAAAAATAATTTTCGAAATTCTCTCCAAATGCTCTAAAAAGGGGAAAAGGGGTGGCAGCATCTGGGTGGCTCAGTCATTTGAGCATCCAACTCTTGATTTTGGCTCAAGTCTTGATCTCATGGGTCGTATAAGATGGAGCCCACAGGCTCTGCACTCAGCTGGGAGTCTGCTTGAAGATTCTCTCCCTCCCCATACTCGTGTGCTCATGCGCTCTCTCTCAAATAAATCTTTTAAAAAAAAATTCTCTCCAAATGAAAAATGACATTAACCCTTCACTAAGTGGCTATATTGAAATTAAGCTATTATAAATGCTATGAATTCAACATGAAACATTGATACTATTTTTACCTTTAATATTTCATATGCTTTTCCACTACATTTACAAAAACTGCATGATGAGCAGCCTGCAGAGCAAATTAATTTTTTACATGAAAGAAGATACTGACATGGTTCACTTCTAGCAAATGGATACTAAACCCAAAACAGATTTGTTAGAACAGTGGTTCTCCAAGCATGGTCCTCAAACTAGAAGCACTGGCATCATCTGTGAGTTTGTTACAAATGCAAATCTATGGGCCTCACCTGACCTACTGAATCAGAATATCTGGGGATATAATCCAGGAAACTATATTTTTAATTGAAATATAATTGACATATAACACTGTATAAGGTATACAATGCATTGCTTTGATGCACATATTGCAAAATGTTTACCACCATAGTGTTAGCTAATACCTCTACCACATCACATAATTATCCTTTCTTTTTTGTGGTAACAATACGGTCTCTTAGCTACTCTAAAGTTTATTAATACAATACTATTGTCTATAATCTCTATGCTGTGCATTAGCTTTCCAGGACTTGTCTACTAGTTTCAAATCAACATCTCCCCAATCCCCACACCCCACCCCCCAGTCTCTGGTAACCACCATTCTACTGTTTTCACAAGTTCAGCTTTTTTAGATCAGGGAACTGTATCTTAAACTCTCCAGATGATTCTTAAGCACACAATAGTTGAACCACTACATACAATTTTTTAAATCATCACATTAAAAAGGAATCCGCTGCATTTTCTTTCAAATGGTGAGCTCATCTAGTGAATAATAAACTAAGTGGATTTATATGCAAGTTACTTAGGAATTCATAAAGCTAAGTCATTTCCACCTCAGAGGCTTAGCATGTGGTGTTACATCTGCCTGGCATGCTTGTTGCCCTATTCTTTGTGTCTCATTCCTTCTTGTCATTCAGGTTTCAGCTCAAAATCATCTCCTCTGAGAGCCTGTCTTGACTATTCAATTTAATCACTTCTTTCCTCCCCAATATCATGTAAACTTGTTTTATTTTCGTCCTAGTATTTATCACTATTTGAAAATTATTTTTTAGTTCTTATCTGTTTCTCCCATGAGAATATACACTGCATGAAAGCGGGGAATTTGCACTATTCACTACTGTCTCTCCACCTCATACAGTGCCTAGCATATAGTATGTGCTCACTAAATATTTAAAGAATAAATGGATGCATGCATCTCAGGTGCTCCTGTGGCCTACAAAGGAGTAGTGGGAAGTTTTAACTGGGCTGGAAAAAAATGATTAAAATGATACCATATTACCAGGCCAATATCAGCATGTTTCATAAATCAATCTCTGTATAGCAAAGCTGTTTTAATCAAACAGCCAATTCCATATGCTATATGAAGACATGTATATTCACATAAACACATCTGGATGATAAGTTTGGTTTCTTATTCCTATTAGAGGAGGAGAAAATCTAAATAGGATAGCAAGGTTGGGGTGAAATTTGCATCTTTTATAATATTCTATTTCTACATTTTTTTATGGAATAAAAACACACTTGTATGCTATATACTTTATACACATTATTTTATCTTCAGGAAACCCTGTATCAAAAGTAGCATTATTACCCTTATTGTATGGATGAAGAAATAATTGAGTCACAGGAAGTAACTTAAGTAGAACAGAAAGGTCAGTTTGTGCCAAAGTCATTTTTAACAAGTACTAGTAATTTTCTTTTTTACAATGAACTTTATCATGGAAAATTTTATAACTGTCTCTACCTGAAAATATTTGTACTTTTTTTTCCTGCAGGGTCACTGGTTATGGACTTAGAAACTAAAACATAACTACTGGATAAAACTGACAATAACATTTAGAGGTAAATGTGAAAAGGTCGGAATTTAAAGTCTAAAATGATCAGTAATTTCCAAAATATTCCCAAATTTACAAATTAACCCACAGAATCCTAATAAGCTTCCTTGCTCTTAAGTCTGCTTTGTCTGAAATTAATTTAACTATTCCAACTTTCTTTTGATTAATGTTAGCATGGTATATCTTTCTCCATCCCTTTACTTTTAATCTGCATGTGCCTTTATATTGAAAGTGAGTTTCTTAAAGATAACATATGGTTGGGTCTTGTTTTTGATCCACTGACAATTTGTTTTTTATTGGTATATTTAGACCACTGACATTTAGGGTGATGAAATATCTACCGTATCTGTTACTGTTTTCTATTTGTTGTCTTTGTTCTCTATTCCTATTTTTGTTTTCTACTTTTTCCATTTTTTGTGGTTATCACCAAACATATTATATGATTCCATTCCTCTCTTTTCTTAGCATATCAACTATACTTTTTTCCCTTTTTTAGTGGTTGCCCTAGAGTCTGCAATGTACATATATAACTAATTCAAGTCCACTTTCAAATAATAGTATACTCTTTCACAGGTTAGAAGAGTCAGATATTCCTAATTCTGTCCCTTATGTCACTGGTGTCATTAATTTCACTTGTACATAAGCTATACATTGCACACACTGTTGCATTTGCTATCATTTTAAACAAACTTATCTGTTCAATCAACTAAGAATAGGAAAAATAAAAGCTTTTCCTATACACTCATTTCTTCTCTAATGCTCTTCTTTTCTTTATGCAGATCCAAGTTTCTGACCTGTATCACTTTATCTCTGAAGAACTTTTCTTGTTTTAACATTGCTTGCACAGGTCTAACTGGCAACAAATTCCCTCAATTTTTGTCTGAGAAGAGTCTTTTATCACTTTAGAAGGATAATTTTGCAGGCTCCAGAATTCAAGCGTGGTGGGTTTTTTCTCTCAACATTTCAAATATTTCACTCCACTCTCTTCTTGCTTACTTGGGTTTTTGAGAAGTCAGATGTAATACCCATCTTTGCTCTTTAAGTAAGGTGTCTTTTTTTTCCTCCAGCTTCAAGATTTTTTCCATCTTTCATTTTCCACAGTTTGAATATGACATGCCTGGGTGTAGTTGTGGGTTTTTTTGTTGTGGTGGTGGTTTTGGTTTTAGTGGGTTTTTTTGGCATTTATGTGAGCTTCCTAGATCCTGGGTTTGTTATCGGACATCAATTTGGGAAAATTCTCAGTCCTTATGACTTGCAGTATTTCTTCTATTCCTCTTTCTTACCATTCTAGTATTCCCCTTATAACTTTTGTACTCATCCCACAGTTCTTGGATAGTCTATGCAATTTTTTAAAATCTTTTTTCTCTTTGCTTTTTAGTTTTAAGAGTTCCTACTGACATAGCAAGTTCAGAGATTATTTCCTGAGCTATGTCTGGTCTACTAATGAATCCATCAAAGGCATGTTTGTTACTGTTACAGTGTTTATCTCTAGCATGTTTTATTCTTAGAATTTCCATCTCTCTGCTTACATTACCCATCTGCTCTTTCATGTTGCCTACTTTTTCCATTAGAGTCTTTTAAAAAAATATATTTATTTATTTATTTATTTGACAGAGAGAGCACAAGCAGGGGAAGCAGCAGACAGAGGGAGAGAGAGAAGCAGGCTCCGATGCGGGGCTCAATCCCAGGCCCTGGGATCATGACCTGAGCTGAAGGCAGATTAACTGACTGAGCCACCCAAGCACCCCCATTAGAATCTTTAATATATTGGTCATAGTTGTTTGAAGTCTCAATCTGATAATTTCAACATCCTTACTATATCTGAATCTGGTTCTGATGTTTGCTGTCTCCTCAAATTGTTTTTTTTTTTCCTTTTAGTATACTTTGTAATTTTTTGTTGAAACCTGGACATGATGTAGTAGGTAAAAGGTAAATAGGCCAGTAAATAGGCCTTTAGTGATGTAGTGGTAAGGTGTGGGAGAAGAGGAATTGTTCCATAATCCTATCAGTAGATCTCAGTCTTAATGATCCTGTGCCCCTGGGATATAAACTTCACAAAAAATTTTCAGTTTTTTCTTCCCCTTTGGTGGGACAGGATGGCTAGAAGGAGCTGGAGTTAGGTAGTTCCTTTCCCCCAGGTCAATTAGACTCTGATAAAGCCCAACCAAGTTAGGCTCTGGTAACATACTTTCTCTTGAGGGCAGGCCTTGTTAAGAATAGTTTGTGGGACACCTGGGTAGCTCAGTCAGTTGGGCGTCTGTCTTCGGCTCAGGTCATGATCCCAGGCTCCTAGGATCAAGTCCTGCATCAGGCTCCTTGCTCAGCAGGGATCCCGCCTCTCCCTCTGCCTGCTGCTTCTCCTGCTTGTGCTCTGTCTCTCTCCCTCTCTCTGATAAATAAATCTTAAAAAAAAAAAAATAGCTTGCTATGGCCTATTTACAATTGATTCCTTTTCCCCTCCTCCTGCCAGGCGCCTCAGAGAATTCTTCTCCAATCTTCACTGTTAGAACCTGGTAGAGCTCTTAGAAATAAAACTCAAAAAAGTGTAAGGAAGCCTCACTATGACTACACCCTTCTGGAATTTTTGGCTCTCAGACTTGTCTACATTGAGCCTCCAGCAATCCATCAATTAGTTTAGGTTTCCTACCTTGACACTGGTTCCCATAAATGTTTCTGCTCTTGACTTTCTGCTTAGGCAAGTTGTGATTCTCCATGTCTTCTCCAATTGTGGGGGCAGTGATTTGCCCTGTGACCTCACTTTTCAAGAGTTGTTTATTTTCAATTTGTTCACCTTTTTACTTGTCAGGATGGAGTATGACCTTCCAAGCCCCTTACATATAGGACTGGAAACCTAGTAAGCTTCCTCAACTTCATAAAATACAATTTTAAAAACTCCAGATGAGGTAGACACAATACCTTTCTATGTGCTTTAAGAAGCCCTTTTCCTACCAGAAGGAATAACTGGGCAAGTGACCAGAAGACACTGAAGTCTTGTCAGAGGTGTTCACCACGAGCAAGTCCCAGAGCTCCAAGGCAGCTGTACCTTTAGAAACCAAAAATAAACAAATTACCTTTATTTCTAAGGTTTAATCAGAAGTCTCAAGGAACCTGCAAGTGCCAACAGGAAAGCCTTCAAGTTGCTAGACAGTAGAGTTCATTTATCAACATACTTAATAAACATAACATGTATAACTGGCAGTTACATGACCTCTTCCTCCCTCCATAAATGGGGGGAAAAAGGTGTTTAACTGTAGAGAGGAACCTGACAAACTGGCCTTTCTAAAAAAGGCATCCAGACTTCTGGGGAAGATGGTCGAACAGGAGGATCCTAAGCTCACCTCATCCCACAGATACAACCAGATAACACTCACATCAGTGTAAATATCCCAGAAAACAACATGAAGACTGACAGAACTCTCCACAACTAAATAAAGAGAAGAGGCCACATCAAAGAGGGTAGTAAGGACAAAGATATAGTCCAGAGCTAAAGGGAACCTCCACACTGTCCAATGGAGGGAGGGACACCACAGGTGCAGAAGGAGGAGTGAAACAGACTCACATCAGGGATTCCACAGGGGAAAGAAGAATCCCCATAACATTTGGCTCTGAAAACCAGAGGGGCTGAAGAGTGAGTTCTTACAACCAGCAGGACTTAAAACCTGGAACTTTAAAAATCAGTGGGCTCAGCTCAGGGAGAGCTGGGAGGGCAAGAGGAAACTGAGTCCCTGTTCTTAAGGAGACAGTACAACAACAGCCCCACAGAGATACGGCATAGAAGCAGCAGCTTGAAAATCCCCTGGGGTATACAGGACAGAGATCTTGTTTACTAATTTCAGAGCACGCACTGTAGGTGCAGGGATCCTTGGGAGACTTGGAAGCAGGGGGAGGGAGAACAGACAACAAATGAGCCACTTCCCTCCCCTGCCTCCCACCCTACCAACACTAGCTAACTAACTTGGTAAAAATGAGCCCCACCCTGCATTCTCCTGCAGACATGCCCCCTCCAGATCTCCTTCCACAGCAGACCAGCATAAACCTTGCTGACAGCTTGTGTGGATCCGCCCCCTTCAATACACTCTTGGCCTGATCCACCTAAAGCAATGCCACAAGCCTGGCAGTGTGCGAGCAGCCCCAACAGGGGCCAGTACCACTCCGGAGTGACTCCTGCCCCAGAGAGAGGGAAGGAGAACTACACACACCAGTCAGACTGTGGCTCCAGCAGAGCTGGGGGCAGACAACTAGTCTGACTACAAGCTCAAGCCACCAACAAAAGCCTCTCAGGGGACAAAACAGAAAGAGCCCTGCAGTTCAGTGCTACTGCATCCATGGCAAACACCTGGTCTGACACAACTCAAGCCCAAGGGGGCCCAGACTGGCCCACTAACAGCACAGGAACCAAACACTTCCCACAATAAGCAAAGAGAGCAGCTACAGATGACTAAACTGAAGGCAACATCAGCTCAGCCACAACAGCAGGGCACGCACAACACATATGGGAGACACCCCTGAGGTGCCAGGTTCTAATGAACCGGAGACACTGCATGACAGGGCAGTACAAGACCTCTTCATAAGGCCACTACTTTCAAGAGCAGGAGACATAGCTGACTTTCCTAAAACACAGAAACAGACAAGGATACTTAGATAAAATGAGGAGACACAGCAATACGTCCCAAATGAAAGAAGAGGACAAAAGCACAGCAGGACACCTAAGCAAAACATAGGTAAATAATATGCCTGATAGAGTATTTAAAATAATGATCATAAAGATACTCACTGGACTTGAGATGAGCAGAGGACATCAGTGAGACTCTTTACAACAAGACAGAAAACAAAAAAGAAACAATCAGAGATGAAGAAATCAACAACTGAAATTAAAAATACACTAAAGAGGAACAGACTTGAGAAAGCAGAAAAACGGATCAGCGACCTGGAGGGCAGACTAATGAAAGCAACCCAACTGAATAGGTGAGAGGGAAAAAAATGATACAAAATGAAAACAGACTTAGGGAACTCAGAGACACGATCAAGCATAATAACATTCTCATTACAGGGACGTCAGAAGGAGAAAAGAGAGAAAAGGGGGCAGAAAATTTATTTGAAGAAATAGCTGAAAACTTCCCAAATCTGGGGAAGGAAACAGAAATCCAGATCCAGGAGGCACAGAGAGTCCCCAACAAAACCAACCCAAGGAGGTCCACACCAAGACACACAGTAATTAAAATGGTAAAAAGTAGTGATAAAGAAAGAATTTTAAAAGCAGAAAGAGAAAATAGTTGCTTGCAAGGGAAATCCCATAAAGTTATCAGCTAATATTTCAGCAGAAACTTCACAGGCCTGAAGGTAGTAGCATGATATATTCAAAGTGCTAAAAGAAAAAAACGCTCCAATCAAAAGACATAGGGTGATGGAATGGATAAAAAAGCAAGACCCATCTACATGCTGCCTACAAAAGTCTCCTTTTAGACCTAGAAACATATGCAGATTGAAAGTGAAGGGATGGAGAAGAATTTAACATGCAAACAGATGTGAAAAAGGACCAAGTAGCAATACTTATACCAGATAAAAAAGACTTTAAACCAAAGACTGTAACAATAAGATACAAAGAAGGACAGGGGATAGTCCAACAAGAAGATATAACAATTATAAATATTTATGCACCAAACATGGGAGCACCCAAATACATAAAGCAGTTAATAACAAACAAAAGGGAAGTAACTGATAGTAATACAATAATAGGAGGGACTTTAACACCCCACTTACCTCAATGGAAAGATCATCTAAATGGAAATACAAGGAAACAGTGGCTTTGAATGACACACTGGAACAGATGTATCTAACATATATTCAGGACATTCCATCCTAAGACAGCAGAATATATATTCTTTTCAAGTGCACATGGAACATTCTCCTTAAGAGATCCCATATTAGGCCACAAATGAAGTCTCAACAAATTCAAAGAGATCGAAATCATACCATGCATCTTATCTAACCACAACACTATGAAAATAAAAATCAACCACAACAAAAAATCATGGAGGTTAAATAACATGCTACTAAACAATGAATGGATTAACCAAAAAATCAGGAAATCAAAAAAATATATGGAGACAAATGAAAATGAAAAAACAACAGTCCAAATCTTTGGGATGCAGCAAAAGCTGTATGAAGGAAGTTTATAGCAGTACAGGCGACTTCAAGAAGAAAAATCTCCAAGAACCTAACCATATCCCTAAAGGAGTTAGAAAAAGAACAAAAAAGCCAAAACCAGTAGAAGGAATGCAAAAATAAAGATTAGAGCAGAAATAAAACAGATACTTAAAAAACAATAAAACAGATCAATGAAACCAGGAGAGTTTAAAATAAAATAAATATTTTATTTATGTATTTGTCAGAGAGCGAGCGAGAGCACGTGCACGCATAAGCAAGGGAAGCGGCAGGCAGAGGGAGAAGCAGGCTCCCCACTGAGCAAGGAGCCCAATGTATGACTCGATCCCAGGACCCTGGGATCATGACCTGAGCCAAAGGCAGACACTTAAATGACTGAGCCACCCAGGCATCCCAATCTATTGCATTTCTATACACTAATAATGAAGCAGCTGAAAGAGAAATGAAGAAAACAATCCCACTTACAGTTGCACCAAAAATAATAAAACACGAAGGAATAAACTTAACTCAAGGGGTGAAAGACCTGTACTCTGAAAACTATAAAACCAAAGAAACTGAAGACAATACAAACATGGAAAGATACTCCACACTCATGGATTAGAAGAACAAAAATTGTTAAAATGTCCATACTACCCAAAGCAATCTACAGATTTAATGCAATTCCTATCAAAATACCAACAGCATTTTTCATAGAACTAGAACCAACAATCCTAAAATTTGTATAGAACCACAGAAAACCCCAAATAGCCAAAGCAGTCTTGAAAAAGAAAAACACAACTGGAAGTATCACAATTCCAGATTTCAAGTTATCCTACAAAGCTGTAGTAATCCAAAGAGAGTATGGTAGTGGCACAAAAACAGACACATAAGTCAATGAAACAGGATAAAGAGCCCAGAAATAAACCCATACCGATAAGGTCAATTAATCTTCCACAAAGGAAGGAAGAATATGCAATAGAAAAAAAAAATCTTTCTTCAAAAAATGATGTTCAACTGGACAGCTAAATGCAAAAAGAATGAAACTGGACCACTTTCTTACACCATATACAAATATAAATTCAAAATAGATTAAAGACCTGAATGTGAGACCTGAAACCATAAAAATCGTAGAAGAAAGAACAGGTAGTAATCTCTATGACACTGGCCAAAGCAACATTTTTCTAGATATATCTCCTGAGGCAAGGGAAACAAAAGCAAAATAAACTATTGGGATTTAATCAAAATAAAAAGGTTCTGCACAACAAAGGAATCAATTTAAAAAACTAACAATCTACTGAATGGGAGAGGACATCTGCAATGACAAATCCAATAAAGGGTTGGTATCCAAAATACATAAAGAACTTAACTTATACAACTCAACACCATAAAAACCAAATAATACAATTAAAATTGGGCAGAAGACATAAACAGGCATTTCTCCAAAGAAGACATACAGATGGCCAACAGACACATGAAAAGATGCTCAACATCATCCATCATCAGGGAAATGCAAATCAAAATCACAATAAGGCATCACCTCACACCTGTCAGAATGGCTAAAATAAAAAACACAAAAAACAACAAGTGTTGGCAAGGATGTGGAGAAAAGAACCTACCCTGTGGGTAGGAATGCAAACTGGTGTCGCCATTGTGGAAAACAGTATGGAGGTTCCTCAAAAAAACTAAAAATAGAATTATCATATGATCCAGTTATTGCACCACTAGGTACTTACCCAAAAAATATAAAACACTAATTCAAAAAGATATATACACCCCTATATTTGTTACAGCATTATTTATAAGAGCCAAATTATGGAAGCAGCCCAAGGGTCCCAAGTATCCATAGATGAATGGATAAAGAAGTGGTATATACATATAATGGAATATTATTCAGCCATT